GGGGGGGGGGGGGGGGGGAAGCTTTCACAAAAGGGGGGAGAGATGTTCTCTAATGTTTCTGCTATGAAACTTGTTAAAGTGATTGGATATAATTAAAAAGTGTTAAGAAACTTTGATTAAAAAAAACTTAGCCTATCTGTTCAAGACAGATTTGGTTATAAAATGGAAGACTAGTTCCATTATCGTATACCAGTGGTCCGTGGGTGGGGTTGCCATTGGTCTTAGGCTTGGCCTAAGTAGAGAGGGCTGCAACTTTCAAATAATTTGAAGTGAAGTCTCAATCTGACTACAATAATGTCTCCATTCAATCAGAGAGTCAGAGTAGATCTAACTACTTTCACTAATATTCAATTAAGTTAGATTTATCTACATCTATCTACTTTGTCTTTGTGCACATATAAAGCTTGATGATATTACATCCGAACTAAACATACTTCTCTCCAAAATATCATAGGATCTGCAGTGGCTCAGTGAGATAGATGCTTGCTTGCTAACCTGAAGGTCCAGGGTTCAATCCCAGTATAAATGGAGATAATACCTTCAGATTTTTCAACCCAGTTTCCCCCTGTCAGTGATGCAGGTAAGAGGGGCAGACATGCAAAAAGCGTATAGTTGGTCGGATGGGACAATAAACCAAGGCCCTGTATGCTATAGGCTGTGCATGTTAAAGATCCCTCGAGAGTTGGAAAATTGATAAAGAGACCGCTAATGCCATTTTCTTGTCAAAATTTCCCTCATTTCACCCCTTGTCATTAGCTCACATGGTGCAGATAAGTAGGACGTAAAACTCCATTGCTCAGATATTACCTTTCCTTTGAAATTCAAAAATAAATAGAAATGTTTTTGAAAATTTAATTTTTTAAGCCTTATTTCAGTATTTTAATTTCTAAATGGAAAATCTATCAAAAAATGACTGCCAGCTCCATGTGTTAGAATTTTTTGTCAGTAGTTTGTCAATTTCATGGTGAATGAATTATTGTCAAGATAAGACATTAGAATGTTTAGAGAGCTAATTAAAATCCTACACAGAACTCTTTAAGTTCTTGCTTCATTACAAGTTACAAGTAAACAAAACCTTGACCCTATTTGTTAACAATCATGTTCATAATAATCAAGTAAAACACTTTTTGTTTTTATACGCCCACATCTCTGTATGTGGACATAATATATTGTCAGCACCCCTGTCCGTCCGTCCGTCAATATTTGCTTGTAAACCCTCTAAAAACTTTTTTGAAGGAATCAAATGAAATTCGGTATGTGTATACATATGCATAAAACAAAGATCAAGTTCGAATTTGAGCTATTTTCGACCGTTAGAAGCAGAGTTATTGCCCTTGCCCCAAAATCTTGAATATGCTATTATTCTCTTAGTTTTCAACTGATTTTGATGAAACTTAAAATGGATGTTATTGGACCTAAATCGAAAGGTTGGAGAAAGTTTAGTTTACTTCTGATTAAATTTAAGGCTTTTTCAAGATTTAGGCCTCTTACGTCAGTTTTGAAGAGTTATTGCTCTTTAACCTCTATACAGTAATTGCTTCTATCAACATCAATTGCTCGTAAGCACTCTCAAAACTAGAGTGTTTGAAGGAATCAAATGAAATTCAGTATATGTAAACATATTCATAAAACGAAGATCAAGTTTTAATTTGAGCTATTTTTGACTGTTAGAAGCAGAGTTATTGCCCTTGAATCTTGAATATTTACCATCCGCATGCCGTGGTGTTGTGACGTCCACTATCTTTAAAATAATATTTCTTCAACTTCCAGTTGTGTTGGGGTTCAAGAACATCAGGCAGCAGATATAGAAATCTTCCATTGTCCAAATTGTCAAAAGAAACATGGACCTTTAGTATGTAAGTAAATGGTTTACATTTTTAAAATTTATACATTACAATGACATGATATTAGAACTGATGCTATATACCTTCTGAGACTTTATTTTGGCTAGAATAGAGTATAAATTCTTCACTTTGAATAGTGACATACATTTTAGATTCACACAGTCAACATTGCTTTTACTTTTATTTCAGTAAAAAGTAGAAAGAATTTTCACCGTCATGATTATTCTGAAGAGAATAGTGACTCTAAGGTAAGCTTACATAATTTATAATCTTTGGAACAATCACTTCGGTATTAAATTGTGTGATTGAAATAGAATGTGTGAAAGAGTAGATAAAGAGATCTTTTCTTATTATAATAATATTTTGTAGGCTGTACAGACTGGCACTGTGGCTTTCATCAAAGAGTTGAAAAATAGAACATTTTCTAGGTATAACATTTCTTATCATTTAATGTCACTGTTTTTAAAAACATTTATTTTTGCTATAATTTATAGTTCTTAATCAGTAATCTCAGTAAATAGCCAACAGTTGGTATTGTATTAGTGAACCCTATTTCATGGTAGCTACTGCTAGATTTTTGTGTATGTCTTTTGCTCACTTTTCCTAGGGAAAATAGATTTTATGTAATGTCTGAAACCATTTTTACTCTATAATTGGTGTTTTGATATTTTAGTGTGGAAGAAATACCTATATTAAAACTACAGGGAAGTCAGTTAACTAAGTCTTATTGTGAAAAACATAAATTTGATACACCTATATTGATAGATAAAAAAGATGGATTAGGATTATGTGTTCCACCATCAAATTTTACAATAAATGATGTAGAGACATATGTTGGTGAGTTAATATTTTTATCTTATTTAGATTTTGGAGAATTTTTATGACTTTGCGTGTAGAATATTCTCCTTGTAGACTTCTCACTCTGGCTCAATGAATTAATGTACTTTTCTCATATCAAATTTTGGAAAATAAAGTCCCTATCCAAAAACTAGCAACTGATAGACACGATAGACAAGACAGAACTCTATTAACTACACAAAAATCCAAATCTTTATCAGCTGCTTTTAGATCTCTACAAAGGAAAATAGTTGTCTTGAAATCTGCTGTGTATGATGTTGGTTGATATCATTTTCTGTTCTGTTATTAACAGGATCTATGACAGAAATAGATGTTATTGATGTATCAAGACAAGAGAATTGTCAGATGTTAATGAGGGAATGGACAGATTATTACAACTCACATAATAGAAGTAAAATATATAATGTCATTAGTTTAGAGTTCTCTAAAACAAGGTAACTTGTCATCTATTTCATTTTCTCAATTTATTTTTCATTACATAAATTCTTATCTTATGCTATTATAATCTTTTATGGTAGTTAAAGCTAATATTTTCAGTGGTTTTAAATGATATCAAGATTATGCATGAAGATGAAGCATTTACAATGCATCAAGAATTGAAATGAATGTAGTTTTTTGTCTTTTCTGCACCTCATTGCATCAGATTTTGTGCCACATCTGAAATGCAAATGGAAATTATTTGTATGGCATGTTAAATATAGAATATATTAATTTTGTCAGATTATCAGAGTTAGTGAAACCCCCAACTATAGTGAGTGAGATGAGTTGGGCACATAATATCTGGCCAACACAACTACCAGAAGATATGACAATAGTTAGACCAGAAGTACAGAAATATTGTTTAATGGGTGTTAGAGACAGTTTCACAGATTTCCATATTGATTTTGGTGGTACTTCAGTATGGTACCATGTTTTAAAGGTAGTACCAAGGAGATGTTCCTCACTGAATTCTATTACTATTTTAAAACTCTGATTATTTAAGGAATGAACTGAACATTTTTTCAGTTCATCGATGTATAATTAGAAAAAACCTGTGTACACTGTATAAATCTGCGTAGCATTATATACTTCAGTGTACAGAGGTTTTTTCTGTGTGTACATGGATAAACTGAAAAAATGTTCAGGTCATTCCTTATAATTAAATCAACTTGAATTTGTGTTTAAATATTTATTTAATAAGACATTAAATTGGCATATAAATACAGAACATGTTAACATAACATTAAATAACTGATACTAACAATAGAGATGCCTAGAGAACAGCCACAATATATTTATAGTCTACTTTATACTGCCTGAAAGTTGACGGAGCAGTTGATTTATTAAAAAAGGAGTTTGAAATAAGTCCAGAATTCATGATATTTTTGGAATTTAGAGTGTGCTGTAAGATTTCATCATAATTTCTTAGAAAAAAATTGCCAAGACGTAGAAGCAGACGAAATCGTCGCCGTGTAGTGGCCGCGAATATTAACCTCAATGATAAAAGTAGTCTGTTTAGGGGGTGGGGCTTATATTTACATTCTGTTTATACAGATATAAACCGAATGTATGTGCCGCTGTTATCCAATCAAGTTGAGTGATACTGTGTAACAGAAATCGTGATTTAATTATATAAAATTGCTTAACCTGCTAGAAATCGTATCTTGATGGTTTGGACATAACTATATCAACAGGATGGATAATTAGAAACAGGATGATACAGGTTTATTTTGGTGTCATGCCATTGCCTAGAAACTACTGAAATAGATTGCATTAGTGTATAAACTTGATGGAAAATGAAATGAAATTGAATGTTTCAGGGAGAAAAAGTATTTTATTTGATACGACCTACACCAGCTAATTTAAGTCTATATGAGAATTGGCTGACATCCACCAATCAGAGTGAGACATTTTTTGGTGATCAGGTTGATAAATGTTATAAATGTCGTGTAAGAATGGGACAGACATTATTTATACCAACTGGTTGGATTCATGCTGTGTTTACACCCATTGATTCACTGGTATTTGGGGGGAATTATTTACATAGTTTAAATATACCATTACAATTACAGTAAGTACTTTAACAACTACTCATGTATTAAACTATGTCAGGAAGTTCATAGTTTTGCAGTTGAAGTTTAATTTGCCAATAAGATTGACACTGTCAAACACGCCTGTTTAAAACAATACTTGATAAGCCAGACTCTTTTACCACTTGTATAAGTTGGGAATATTTGCAAGATTTATTGATGGAAAACATAGAGTAAACTTAATAAACCACATATTGTTGAAAATTCTGATGTCAGTAAAGTTGTCTACTGACAACTTAAACCATATTTTCTTTCTCTGTCTGGCTTATTATCATTTGATCAGATTAAAGATATTTCTGACTTGTGAGTTATTATCACAGATTAAGAATAGTCTCATGTATATTAATATCAATCCTGGTATTAGTATCAGTGAGAGCCTTTGATTGGGTCAACTTGAAGTATTGCTTCCATACTTAATAATGTACAATGTATTTTTCAGTGCCTATGAAATTGAAAAGCGAGTAAACACACCAGAAAAATACCTCTTCCCTTCCTATGAAACAATAAATTGGTATGCAGCAAGACAATGTTTAGAGTTATTAAAAGGTGAGTATAATATGATAGATTGATGAGTGTTAGTATTATCTTCACCTAGTCAGAAAACAATGAAAAATATTACGGAAAGACCAAGATGTCTATTTAAACCATTAACTAGTATGCTTTGAGGTGAATTCATAATGTCATCTGCATTGTTTTGTTTTAGATTTAAATGAAGATAGTAAAAAAGCACCTGAACATCTTGTAACTGGATCCAAGTCATTATGTCAGCATTTACGATCATGGACACAGCGAAAAGATGTAAGATTACTTTCTTGCTTTTACTTCTTTTTTTTTAATAACAAATATTTCAGGTTAATATATTGCTATATTAGTCATAATAAAAAATATCTTTTTATAATAATATATTGAAAATAATTTTTTCTAAACTAGGAAATTTCTATTTTAATATGATTAAATTCAATTTATATATGATTGTAGGAAAACCAGTCCTGCTATTTGGTTAGGTTTGTTATAATGTACCAAGTATTCTCTAATTATTTTGTTTTTGTTTTATTTCTTTAAACTTTACAGTTGAACCAGTACCTCGTGAGTCAATTCTATTTTTTGAATTGTCTTGGTTAGGTCTTGTTTTGCTTTTTCTTGTTTGATTTTATGCTTTTTAGCTGTGATTATATTATAGATTCTTGTGGATATATTTTTCTCAATTGAAATTTATTTTAAGAGTAACAATTCATTTTTATACTTAATTTCTTGTTGACTAATTTAATTAATTAGGTTGATTTAGGACTGTGACTTTTATATAAAAATTCATGTCAGTTCGGGAATATAATTTACAATATTTCATTATAACTTGATTAAAAAAATCCAAATAGACATATTGAATTTTTTATTTAGCAAAATCATAGCTGGATTTTTTGTAAAGTCAAAATTAACATCTATTCAATGATCAATTTTAAATTCAGTTTGATCTATATATGAAATTAGTATTTATTTGGGATCTGTCACAGTGCAATAACAATTATTATGATATCATCTTTAATATACGTGTTAATCTATTATCATTGCATGTTATTGTATTTATGTGGTTCTACTATAGGAAGGTCTGAACAATTTATAAAAAAAACATATTTAGCTCTTAGCTGAATTTATTCTTTAACAATCTTGAGAAAATTGACATTGAATATTGCCAGAATCTGAATATAGGGAAGATTGGAATGCGTTACTTTGACAGGGAGAAAACAGACATGTACATATTTGACAATAGTCCATCTGGCATACTTTTGAAAAAGAACATATATACACATTGGAGTAGAAACATGGAGACACTTACATTATTTGAAAGGGATGGAAGTTACATTTGACAAGAGAAAAAAAAGATATGTCATATAAAGTTACCAATATAAAATGAAGAACAATTTGTCTAAAGGATATTAGTTGTTTAATCGTAGTTGGTATTGTTTATTATACATTCATATTTAATCATATCATATCATATCATATCATTATCATTCCAAATCTTTTACGATTTTTATATGATATTACTTTTGAACATATCAGATATATTCATATTGATTGTCTAAAGCACTGTATATAATCTTTAAGCACCCTAATAATATTTATGTATGTCTTGAGTAGAAAAACTTCAGCACTAACAAAATGTATGGCTCTAAATTCAATAGAAATGCTTTGTGTTTATGAAGCTTTTAGATGCTAAAATAGTATTTGCTACACCGCTTACAATTATTAATTGGTCTTTTTGAAATTTTACTACTGAGTACTCAATATTTCATATACATTTGCATGTTAAAGTTGGAATACTAAACAAAAATCATATTTTGTTTTATTTCTCTCAATTTTTTTAAATTCAATTTGTAGCTCCTTATATAAAAGATAATAAAAATGTGGTGTAAACGCAAGATGAAATCCTGGTTTAACAAGTACATGCCACAAAAACAAGGCCTTATCTATTCTTAATAATATATTGTTATTGATAATATTAGGAAATTGTTTTTTTTTTTCTTTAAAGTATGTGAAAACTATAAAACACGAGGTACCCGAATATATACAGTATGGAAAGTTGTTAAAAGAATTAAATAAAATGGTGAAATTATTTGAAACACAGGTAACAAAACTATTGGTCTGTATTTTGTATCAAATCATTTCTGTGTGGTTATACTATTGGGAATTTTAATTCTAAAACATGTTCTGTTATATTAGTAATGGTTATAATCTTTCAGCTCTTCAAGTGGTGTGTTGTCAAGGATGATGTGTTAATTTACTTAAAGATAAAAGCTATGATGATTCTTGTTCTTGACTTACACACATACATACATGCTGTTGCACATTGTTTTTGTTGTTAATGATTGCTTTTGATTTTGATTAGAAACCAAGTCAGAAGAGAGGAGAAAGAAAAAGAAAAAAGAAAGATGTACCATCAAATAAAGAGTTAAAGAATTTAGACATATTACATCAACATACAACTAGTAAACTAAAACAATTACAACATCATCATGATGAAACTGTTTATAATTTTGAGGTAAAGTTATGATTTTTACTATGATTGGGTGATAAAGGGTATTTTCTGGTATTGTCATGTTATTTAAAAAAATCCAAAAAACATTTTAATAGTGATGCAGTTTGTAGTTTTCTTTTTTGTTTTAATCTTTCATTAGAAATAGTTAATTCATTCATTTTCATGTTATTTCCCCTTTAATAACAGGAAGAAGAAGAAACACCATCAACATTAAAAGTAAGAATACCAAAAGCTGGGGCCTATTTAGATACTACTATAAAAGATGAAGAGAAAGATGATTCAGCTCTAAGATTAAAAGTTTCCAATGGTAAAATTGTCAGGTGAGATAAAAACAAATATTGATTTAATGATAAGGATAAATCATACCTGTGCTGCTTTCAGAATAGTGTTTTAACTGGTTTTTAATACGCCCACATGAATATGTGGTCGTATATTGTCGTTGCCCTGTCCATTGGTCCGTCCGTCCGTCCGTCCACATTTCTTGTGAGCACTATAGAGACTACAGTTTTTATCTGATTTTGATAAAACTTGGTGTGATGCTTTAGATTGATAAGATCTCGGTCGAGTTCGAATTTGACATATTTTCGATGAACGGTTTGTGAGATATTGCCCTTGACTAAGAACGCCTTGAAATTTGTTAAAAATTGTTCGTTAACAGGATTGAAGCTACATTTTTCATCCGATTCTGATGAAACTTGGTGTGATCATTGGAATTGATAAGATCTTACTTGACGCATTTTCGATGAAAGTTTTTTAGTTATTGCCCTTCACTTTGTTAGAACGCGTCAAAATTTGTTAAAAATAGTTTGTGAGCAGGATTGAAGCTACATTTTTCATCCGATTCTGATGAAACTTGGTGTGATCATTGGAATTGATAAGATCTCGGACAAGTTCTAACTTGATGCATAGTTCACGAGCAGGATTGAAGCTACAGTTCTCAACCGATTCTGATGAAACTTGTTGTGATCATTGGAATTGATAAGATCTCGGACAAGTTCTAACTTGACGCATTTTCGATGAATGGTTTTTGAGTTATTGCCCTTGACTTTCAAAATTTGTTTGTGAGTACAATAGAAGCTACAGTTTTCAACCGATTTTGATGAAAATTGGTGTGATCAATGGAATTGATAAGATCTCGGACAAGTTGACACATTTTCGATGAACAGTTTTTGAGTTATTGCCCTTGACTTATGAAAAACATGTCAAAATTTGTTTGTGAGTTTTTTGAGTTATTGCCCTTGACTTTGTAAACACGCGTCGAAAGTTGTTTTTTGCCCTTGATTAGAGCTGTGTGATTTAATTGTTTGTTTTATTTGGGTTATTGATATTGATTTTAAAAAATTTTGTGGAATTACTCAGCATAAATAACTGGCATATATATATGTAATTGAAAATTCGTACTTTAATCACTAAAGACTGTTCTATCATTTCTGACAGCTGCCAGTGGGCGTATGTTACCTTTCCTCGCAAGCTATCTTTAAATGTATTATGAAACCTCCTATTGGTGCACTTTATCATGAACTTCAAATACAATTATTCTAAGTATTTTTGATATTGAGTCTACAATTATATGAATGGAAATGATATCAGCTTGTAAACATTAAGATTATTTCATTCTTCTTTCAGTGAAAAAAATAAAAAAGTTAAAAAGGAGATACCAAGTGGAAAACTACAAAAATTAACAGAAGGCAGTGAAAACAAAGTTGGAGATAGTGATGATGAAGATGATAAAACTTTAGTTGTTGATGAAAACCCTCCTAAAAAATCACGTACAGCCTCTTCTAGCTCTGCCATGAAAGCTCCCTCACCAGCTAAATATGGTTCTTTAAAAATACGTCTGTCCTGTAAGTTAAAACTAAGTTGTGGCCAAATTGTCCAAATGTCTTGTATATATTTTTCTTAAATTTCCTACTGTAGATAACTTTTGACTGTGGAACATTTTACAGCAAGATTTTTTATATCCTGATCAATCCTGAACATTTAAATAGGGAACATGTATTTGCAGGTAAAAATATTCCGTCTGAACCTATGAGTTCCAGTCAAGAATCAGATACGGGTGCTACAACACAAAGTGAATCAGAATCAATGGAGGACTCATCTCAACGTAGAAATATACCTACTATACGTGGTGGTTTAAACGGTAGTATTGCAGATATATTAGAAGCTAGTGGTTATGGTACAGAAACAGAGTTTAAAGTGGATCCAGAAAGGTAAATAATACTATTAATATAATGTTCCACATAAACAGGAGAGACATGTGGTTTATATTTCAGTGATAAAAATAATGAAGTTTTGTTTCTATTTCAGTGATGCTATTCAAGAAATAATGAAGTCATGGGTTTGTTTTTTTTTTTCAGTGATGGTACGAGTCTAGCCATGTTGTTTATTTTTCAGTGATGCTAGAATAATGAAGATATGTTGTTAATATTTCAGTGATGCTTTACAAGTAATAATGAAGTTATCTTGTTTATATTTCAGTGATGCTATACAAGGAATGTTATCAATGAGTCAAGTTGATAATAATTTTAGTCTATTTACCCAGCGTAAGAACAGAGATAAAGCCAGAGATAGTTTAGGAGATAGTGATGAAGAAGAGAAATTAATGGCAGATTGTTTTAGAGATGATGAATATGGTAAGTTTTAATAACGTTTTACATGGTAAAAGAAGCATATATGATTATCATATCCATATCACATCCTCATATCAATCCATATGAGCATATCAAGTTTCATCCAAACTAGTAGAAAATTTTCAGCTTTTATTATGTTTACAAATATCTAGGGTAATAACTCTCAAACAATTCATTGAAAACTCCAAGATAACATAATGATTTGTTGGTAATTATAAGCTTAATGTGAAACCACTTAAAATATCTACTTGCAGTTTATCCATCATTACAAGAATCTGATGAAGATGATTCTTATCTACAAAGTAATAAAAAACGTGGCCGTGATGACACATGGAATCCCAAAGGTAATAAAGTAATTTTATTTTAGTAAATATTTTGCAATATATAATTTGTATTCTATTCTTTTATAGGGCTTGACAACTGTGATTTTCTTGATTTCTCTTAGCTAAAGTAAAGTCTTGTTTTTAAAGTGATATCACAACAAATATATGTATTCTTCAAGACCTTTGCCGCATATTAAGAAGCTAAAATGTTTGTTTTGAATAAGATAAATACTGTTTAACTTTTTATGTATATTTAATTTAAATTAAAGCTCGTGTAAATGTGACGGTAGCTAATCCAATCCGCCCTATTAGAACTGGTGTTAAGAATGAAGCAATTGAAAGCGGTCTAGCAGCTGCAGCTAAAAAACTTGCTGAAACTCCAGCTCAGGTATGATATTTAATATGTAAAGATAGTCCTTGGGCCTTATTCTCGAAAACTTTCGATAAAATCCAAATTTTAAGAAATACATTAATCTGGATAATAAAACTTTACCTAAAATCGATTTTAGTGATTGACCAATCAGATCACAGGAATAGTAAAATTATCTTTAGTTAAGTTTTCGAGAATAAGACCCCAGCACTAAACCATCAAAATTGAGAGAGCTCTTACTCAAACATACTTATCCCAAATTGCAAAATTTATTTAAAGAATTGTAACTTGTACATGCCAATGTTGTAAATTAGTAAAACAAAATTCTGATCACCTACCTTATGATGAAGCAAAAAATATAAACAATTCATCAAAATTGCAGTCGGCTTTTGAAAAGAAGATTGCAGTGTGAACATTATAATGATTTTAGTGATTTTGGTGTATAATGATGGTAAATGAGTGTACAGTTTAATGATACAAGACATCTTTCTGACAAAATAAGATATTGTGTCTCTGAAAATATTTCTGTAACCTGAGTTGCTCCAATTGACATTTCAGGAATTACCTAAAAAGTTATTAAAACCCAAGAAATCTAAGCCAATAGAAAGACGTCCAGTAGAATATGGACCTCAGCCTGGTACATCAGAAAGTGGTAAGTGATATTATCATAATTTCCAATAGAAAACAGAGTATTCAATTTCCTCAAATTGACAAAAGTCTCCAAGCTTTCGATATCGAAGGTCAAAGTTTACATTCTTTTTATCCCTTTCATTCACATTTATTGACTATGTTCAAGCAAAGGTACTTGTGGACAGGATAGCCTTTGGTGAAACATTTGAGATTTATCAGTCGACTGATATGCATTATTACATTTTATAATACATATCAGTCAACCGACAAAATTTCAGTCTATTCTGTCCTTAAGCACCTGTCTATCATGTTGATTTTCTGATTTAGTTTTTAATTAAATTATGTTTTTTGGAAGTCTAGTAATTTAAGAATGGAAGAAATCAAATATAATTTGACCATTATATCTATTCAATTCTACATCAAATCAGTTTTTTTTTTTTACAGCTAGTGCCTTCAGACCTGGTATTAGAAAACCTATAATTAATGCTCCTGAAAGCCCTCCAAAACGTAAGTAGAATATAGCATGAAATAGGTAATATGTCCAGCTATAGCAGTAAAAAAATGGTTTTGGACAGTTCTCATATCGGAAAATGTTATTTTTGTATTGTTTGTATACTTTTCACACATAAATAGAAAACTATTTTATTTTTCAGCAAAGAAACCAAAGAAAGGAACAGCAACAGCTAAACAAAGACTAGGAAAAATACTCAAAATTCATAAGATGGTTTACTAGTCTCATTTCACATCCAGATATTTATTATGCATTTTTTTAACATAACTTCATCCAGCCTTATCATTGGACAATTGCAACACAAATACAATATTTTTTTTTTTTATACCAAGATTGGAACTTTGATATCTTTGTCCTAACCCAGAGGAAAAGTTTCGGTAATTTCCTCCAATATTAAATGTTTTTATCTTGAAATTAAACTTTGAATGTTTAAGTTTCCAGGTATACAACTTGATCTCATTAGTTGGTAGTAAATTATAACTTTATTTATATCTTATTAAAGAAATTTAATACACTTATTCTTGCTAAGAATCAATTCAGTTTTAGTTATTAGTTATCATTAAGAGTTTCTAGGCTGCTGGCAGATGCAGTATTTTATTTAAATGTAAATGGCCATTAGATCTCTTAGTTCTTTTAATTTGAAACTTAAATCCTGCATAAATTTACATATTTATTGTCATGCTATCATTGTCAGCTGAACTACTTATACTGCCTTAAAAACATCTCTTCTACTAGTCCCGTTAGAGACCTAATTGGAAGTTATTTAAAACTAAATACAATGCCAATAAGTTCAATGCAAACTATTATTCAATGTCTACAATATTTAAGTTATTCCATCTAACTTTATCAATGTTATATTGATAAGACTTATTGGTAAATATGGCAGCATGATGTATTTGTGTGAAATTCCAGCAATATTATGTTTGTTATAAGAGATTTGTTAATATTGTTAAGAGATACTATTTTTTTGTTATATACTGTGTAAATATCATTATCATTGTATTCTATCATGTCAATACAATTTCCTACTTTTAACACTAGTTATTATTTATTCTGTCAATAACTTCGAGTTATTTATTTCCTTACTGTTGATTTGTTCAATAATTCATCAATTTTGTTGACAGACAATGCGAATCCATACTAATGTGGAAGGGGTATCACAGTTAGTAAAACAAGAGATTGTTCCTGGTAGTTGCCATTTTCATGTTGTATTTAACTTTGGAGTGTGAAGTTTCTACTAGAAAGTTTGTTTTCTGTACACATCTGAGAATGTAGATCAGGGGTTTTAAACCTTTTTCTTTCTTTTACCTCTTTCAGGGTCCTTGGTCTACCTCTCTAAAAACTTTACTTATTCATGATTTTCTTTTAGTATTACCTGCAATCATTTTCATGTCAAAGAATATATCCTGACTGATTAGAACAACAGTTGTCCAAAGTATATCATAATTACCCCAAGGTTGAACACCCCTGCTGTAAACATATTCTACTCTCTTTATAATTATATCACATGTCTGTAATTATAATTCAGATAGTTGCCTAGCATTACAAAATCTAAATTGCCAAAAATCCATCCAAATGCCACCAGCTTTAGGTAAATTTGAACAGAGGAACAGAAAATTCGAAGATAATATATATGGAAAACGAAATACTTGACCAATCAAAACATGTATAGCCAGGATAGTGATGATCAGTTAGCTTGCAAACAGGAGGCCATATGCATTTGCAACTCTTGAGAGCTATATTTGTCTAAAAATACTACTGATATAATTATCAGACAACATTCTGTTTTATTTAAAATATTTCACTACAAGATGCATCTTCATGGTTTTTTCTGTTATCAGTTTCATCCATTTCCTACAATTAGATCAATATGTTCATATAATTTTGATCTTAAAATCAATTTCTTTCTTACTGATATATATTCATGGAACTAAACCATTTTATCAAGAATGAAATAGTGCAAATTAACAGAGATCACCACTGTATATTCTTTTCAGTAATTACAATGGGTTATATTCATACTTTCTGAATGATTATTCATAGAACTGGAGAACACTGACTGAACTCTTACAATCATACAACCATATAATATGCTCTCTTATCCCTAGTATGCTAAAATCAGAAAGGAATACTGACCACTTCACTTTCATCATCATCTTCATCAGGAACATCATCTGCTTCTTCATCACTTCCCTTCCCTTGACCACCACCATCACTGGCTGAACTATGTTCTGATACTTGTGATAATATTTCACATCCCTTTGCAATATAAAAGATATGTTAAAATTTCTTCAAATCAACCTTATTAAAGTTATCAATGCTCATTGAACCAGCTTAATGTCAAATCTTAAGCCTTGGCAATTCTATTCCCTTTTAATAGCCCATAGATCCTTCTCACTCCTTGTTTTTAAGATCCTGAAAGTGAGGTTCAAAATGCAAATTACGTCATCCCTTATGAATGAATACTTTGTGGTGTCACTAAACACCCTGTTAAATTTTAAGATCAACAGCAAGAAAAGGGGCTTATTTCCCAGAAATCTGTAAAGGTAAAATTCATCTGAAAGTATATTTAAGTAGCTTAATCAATTCCAAATTTAATGATAAAAAATATTATTAGTTTTGAGCTAGTGGGATTGGAGAAAGAGGCTTTAAGGACGTTTGATGCATGAATAAGATCTATACTCTATACACATGCTTACTTGTAAATCTCGATTTTTCAAATTTCCCATCCAGAAAGCTTCAGGACATTTATTGACTGTTAACATTAACATAACTCTGTATACAAAGGCTTCTAAGGCTTTCTTTAACAATGGTACTTGATTGGTTAAAGAAATATCTTTAATGATCTTGCAAAGAAAAAAAGAATGATTCAGTGAAATATTTATGAAAAATGAAAAAGAACTCTCACAGCCTGACCCTATTTTTTGGAGGCAACCACTCATCTGGGCATCAGAAATTGGTCATAGAAGAAATTATTACAAATTGTGAGCTAATTTCTAGTGGCCCAGATTTTTATCTTACAGACTACCCATCTTAAACATAATTTGATAAAACCAACCTTTGTATGCCCACATAAATGATGTAATGTTCTTGTACTAAGTTGAAATGTCTTTAATATACTTTGAACATCTTCTCTATGGAATCTAAACATACTATCTAATAATGGCATAGCTTGTCTATAGAAAACTTCAACAAACTGGCGTCCATACTGAAAAAATAACACGTGTAAAATAAGATCAAACATAGTAACAGAGTATTATTCCAGCCCAGAAATAATATAATAAATAATAATAATATAAATCCAATCTAATCATTTCAGGTATCAGCTTTGATCTTAAAAGGATTGTAAAGAAGTGTTAAAAACTTACTTTCAATACTGTACCTAGAATAGCACGACCATCAAATACTTTTAATAAATTGACTAAAACATGATGTATTCTAACAGCCATATTCCACTGTATCAATTTATCCATTTTACTCTAAAATATCAATACTTGACAGACATCTACATTCATTTCAAAATTTTAATCAAATCGGTAAAAAACGTAATAAAGTTTAATTCACAATATACAAGAAATATATCCACGTTTGTCGATCAAGCCTCAATTTTCTATCATTATATCAATAAATTAGTTTAAAATCACCTGTTTAGTATCTGTTTGTTTATAAGGACTAATAGACTTGATACTATCTATTAACTGATTAAAAATTACACGAAAATATACTGCAAACGAATTCCTGAAAATACAGATATATACAAGTATTAATACATTCAACATCAAGAGTTATCAATAATAATTAAATAAACATTTGTAGAGCGCCTAAATCCACATCACACAGGGACATGCTCAAAGCGCTTAGAATCACCATGTACAATACTTATGAGTTTTACAACACGTCTAATGGTAGCGTTGAAATAGATGAGTCTAATCGAGATTTGAAAGTTTGTAATGATGGTGATATTTTAAGTTTGTTAGGGAGACTATTCCATAATATAGCAGATTGGTATTGAAAGGATCAACCACCGATGGTTTTCAAATTATAGATTGGAACATCCAGTCGGCATTGATCTTGAGATCGCAAACATCTTGGTGGAACATAAGCTGATACGAGGTTCTGTAGGGATGACGGCGCAGATTTATATAAGGCTTGATAAAGATAGTACTTTAAATTCGATTCTCTCATTGACTTTGAGCCAACTGGTGATATTTGGGTTTGTAGCTTTGTAGACCTGTTTGTTGGGAATACCAGCAAGGACACTATTACAGTAGTCGATTCTAGATAGCACAAGGCAACGGACTAAGGTTGAAGCAGCATCTTCAGTAATCAGATGGCGTATGGCACCAATCTTTCTGAGATAAAGTTTTACAGATAAAATTTACGTAGGTTTCCATTGACAGATTGGACTCAAAATACACACCAAGATTCTTTAAAGTAGTGGAGAAATTAATTATTGACTGATCAATTGTTAGAGTAGAAATTGCACATTTGGTAAGTCTGGAAGCTGGAGCAATGAGCATTGCCTCTGTTTTGTCAGAGTTCAGTTTTAACATTTTGTTGGTCATGCATAACCCGATATTAGCAATGCAGGATTCTAGGTTCCTACAAGATGACAGTTCATGATCAGTTTCTGGTTTAAAAGAGTTCATCAGCTGCGTGTCGTCTGCATACAAGTGGTGTTTGATGCCGAGCTTATCTATCAGACTGTCGCGTGGCTTGGTATATAAACAAAACAGCATGGGTCCAAGCACTGAACCTTGAGGTACGCCACATGATAATGTCGCACTAAGAGAAAAAGATTTATTAACGATGACACTCTGTGTTCTATCAGTGAGATATGAGTAGCACCATCTCAGAACAGCACCACTAATTCCATAGTCAGATTCTAGATGTCCAATGAATTTCCTATGATCTATTGTGTCGAATGTGGCCGACGAATCGAGGAGCACAAGAGTTGATACATCACCACTATCAACGGATGACTTTAAAGTGTCAAGAACATGAATAAGAGCAGTCTCGGTACTATGAGATGTCCTATATGCTGACTGAAATCTATGCAGAAGATTATTTCGTTCAAGATGTTCCAAAAGTTGAGACTTTACCACTTTTTCCAGAATTTTTGATATAAATGTTAAGTTAGATACAGGCCTATAGTTTTTCATGACTTCTGGATCTAATGAGGTTTTCTTCAGAAGAGGTTTTATTACTGCAGCTTTAAAACAAGTGGGAACGACTCCAGATTTTAAACTAGTATTGATGATTTTCGTTAATATTGGTAAGAGCGAATCGACTATTTTGAACAAAAACAGGGTTAAAAATCATATACATGTAACTACATGTTTTATGCAAATTAGTTGAAAACAAAAGGAGCTTTTGTAGTTACACTGTTCAAGATTATGTGGGTTAAAATGTGAAATCTGCTTTTTCAGCAATTTGCACGGCTATTTTCGCAAATTGATTATACATTTATAGTCTTAAGATATATTATACAAGAACTGCACCAAACCACATAATCCCTTCTTCACTGGGATGCATCCAGCCTTCAATCAAAGGAAATGTGGTGAGCTGCATGCCCTCAGAGAAAACGCCTCCTAATTTTTCTTTTTTTTGGGTCTGCACTGTAGATTCTAGATTGATAGTAAAGGACTCTTCGCATCTAGTCCATAAATTTATCCCTTGGTTAACAAAAAAATACATGACGATAATATTATAATTTGAATATATGTTTACCTTGTTAATGATGGAAAAGTATTAGAAGAACCATTTTTATCTGCATCTATTAACTCTGGTATACCTTTAGTTGTTAATGTTTCTATGGCTGATAACTGCTCCTCTGAATGTACTATGTATGTTCTGAAATTCATCAAAAAAATAAGTTAGACTAAACATACCTCAAAATAAAGATAGCTTGCCAGGCAAGGTAACATACGCCCACTGGCAGCTGTCAGGAATGATAAAACAGTCATTAGTGATTAAAGTATGGATTTTCTCATATTAAAGGAATTTTAATAGTTTGAATTCATTTTTATATATATATTTACTGCCAGTTATTTATGCTGAGAAATTCCACCAAATTTTAAAAAATCAATATCAATAACCCAAATACATCAAATTATCGCATCAATATATATGATCACACAAAATTTAATTAAAATCAGTTGAAAACTGTAGTCTCTATTGTGTTCACAAGAAATGGCAATCTACGTCCACATTTCCATGTGGGCGCATGAAAATCCAGTCTAAAAACCAATAACAAAATTCTGCGCCCTGATATATGATTTAATTTTTATTGAAAAAGAGTTACCTGAAAGAAATCCAACCTTCTTAAAAACCCTTTTTCTGTCTGACAATTGATGTGTGTTTTTATGTATTTACCTGATAACTATTTGTAATAATTCATTATGTTTCTGTCCTTTCTCTCTTTCCCCATCCACTGTTCTCCATTCTCTTTTTAATAAATCACAGGCTAGAGTAGCTGTAATAATAAAATACTAGATTGGTCTTTATTTTAACATACTAAGATGCATGCCTTTATTACTCAAGTTATTTTAACTGCAGGAAGTGTTGATATATCCACAATTACTGGAAGAAAGTTCTTACAAATATATTTAACTAGCACCTTAGCTTCATAATAAATATGAATTTAAATTGAAAAAGAACAGTAAATACCTATTTTTTGTTGTAACTCTGTATTTTCATATTTCTTAGCAATGACTATTAATACTTTAATTAATAAAACACCGCTTTCTAAATTTAATATAGTATTTGAGAAATTCTGTAGATACTTGAAGCTTCCCCTGTAAAACACGAATTCTCACTTTAGAAAGGGAGGACGTGCATACTTCTCAATTTCATTTATACTCAAGCAGTGGACAATATATTTATAGTGGCATACAGATCAGTTTAATAAACAGAGACTATAATTTATTCACTAGTTCAACTCAAGTTATGGTATATACGTGATATAACTTACCTAATCAATTCTTGAAATGTAGACTGAGTTCGAGTCGAATCACCCGTCTTTATTCTACTAATTAAAACTTGTAAACTCTGTTTTAATATATCATTATTACAATGCATTAAAAATCCATTCCTGAAACATTATAAGGATGTAAGAAATAGTTACTCATAAAACAAAAGTCAACAATGTAATTGGTTTACTGCCCAATGGAATCTGGTTTGAAGTCAACTATCAAAGGGAAGCTAAAAGCAAGCTCTAAGAGATACAACTAAACTCTAGTAGTATAAATTGCTCTATATTACATATCATACATATTGTTTAAAATACAGTGGGACATTTTTTTATTAACATTGTTAATATTAGAGCTCTCACCATATTTTAAAACAAGAATTTATACACTAAAAAAATTGATCTTACCAACTAAATACAGATAAAAAACATTGTAATAAATGTTTAAATATACACATCATGTATTTTGATTCATCTGTTGACATATTAATACTATCTATCACTCCATCATTGTCTTCTACCTCTTTCTGAAGTAAAATTTCTATTGGAATATTTTTTGTACTATATCAAGTCTTTCTTGATTTTATCAGCAGTGGATGTTCCATATTTTGGACTACCCCTTATATTTGGCAATAAGTTCTGCCCTTAAAAAATGTTCCAACAACACAGAATTTGAAATTCATTTAAGAAGAGATATCAGGCATGCTGTTGCTCAGATCATTGAAAGGTATAATATGCTTGATTACATTGAACAAATAATGGTCATGGGTTCTGCCAAGTCCAGATGACAAAACATGTGATATCTTTTGTAAATATTGGATGTTTAATGTTATCTTTTAAAAGCTAATATTTCAAAAAATCTATCAGTCACAAAATTAACTGCATCAATAGACTTGGTTAAAAGGGTTCTTTCCCCCTGAAGAGTTAAGAAATACCTGGAAATATGAACTAATCTTCTCCAAATGATCACATAATGATGGTAATAATGATATTATATTTGCTATTATTTCATTAGATGATAGTTGATCTAGGTGAGAATATCCAATATTTTTATCAACTTTAGTCTAAAATCAGAATAAAAATAAACAATGATCTCAAAATCTACTTACTTACTACAGTTAACATCATTATCATTATAAACTTTTAAAAACATACATGCACATCAAAGCTATTTCTTATATATATTTTGGTTAGATTATATAATTTCATTGTGTTCATTGTATACAGTGAATCTTTAAGAAAATTGCTGAAATATCAAAGTTTTTAGCACACTACAGTAACATCTGATCTTACTTTGAGAAATGTACGTCGTTTATTGGTTGTAGATAATAATGAGTGTGATAATTTCTGTACTAAATCTTCTAATAAAAAATTCAACTGTGCTGGTTGTAATTTTAACTCTTCTGTTAACTATAATAATTACCAATTATTCTAGATCATCTCAATCAATACAAAAACATTATCATCAATATTTTAATATAGCATGGTTCCATGATAAAAAGTCTAATAGTTACAGTGATAACATTTCAAGACTAGAAGTACAATGAATATAATGATATATATCTCAAGGAAGGATATCTAAAAATATTCTCATTTTTAATTCTTATAGGTTTAATCTTCTATTTCAGTATCTAAAGAGTTGAAGGTGATCAGAATAAATCTAATCTACCATTACCTTTGTATTTTGTTGAGAATCTAGAGCTGATTTAGTAATTAAACTAGTTGTTAACATGGTAAAAACATGGATATCTAATTCTCTATAATATATAATTAGGATCTTTTTCCAGGTATAATATTTTGAAGATTTGTGCACTATATATTTAACTTTCTATTAAGGCACAGATTTAAACAGATTAAGATCTGGCATATTTAAATAACATAAAATATTGATAATATGACTTATTTGTAAGTATATCAATAGACAGAGTAAAAGTTCTATCATTACCTAAAATATTTTGTGTAAGATGACAATGATACAACTGCTTTATTCTTGTTTTCTTTGTTATCTTTTACCTGAGACTCTATTACAGATTCATTCAACTATAAAAATAGTAAGTATGTTAAAAAAAAATGGAACACATTTTTATGGTATACTACTCCTTAGTACGTTTGAACAATTTGTATTGTTCTCTTCAGGTGAAAATTACCCCTAAATGTAAGTAAGTATGATATTCAACTTTTAATTTATTATAGCATGGATTTGTTACAACTATCAGAATACTCTGTAGTTTTAATACTGAGAACTAAAAAATCAGTCAGAATACAAAATTATTCTCACTTTTTCACTTTGAGTTGAGCCTCTACTTGTTTCATCTGAATCATCTAGATTAACTTTATCACCTTTCTTTCTGCAAATATAAACAAATTAATCTTAGCCGAGTTCTTATAAGAAATCTATGAGGTCAAGTGAAAATCAACACATTACAAACATCTTAGAAGAAATGTGTGATATATTGAAGTTTTATACAAAACTCTAGTGGCAATTGATTAGTAAATTAACAATGATTTGTACTAACTTCTTGCCCTGTTTTTTAGTAGATTTTTTACTCTCCTTAAATGTTGATGCTGTTGAGGTATTCTGTGGTTTATCTTCCAAATCAAAATTAGCCAAAGGTGGAATATAGTTTGTTGTTTCTACAGTATACAATAATACAAGGATAATTTGTTATAAAACCCTTGCTGGCAACAGTATTGAAAGATGACACAAAGTTCAGAAGGTATACAAGTATGCTTAATTACATAATTTAATTGGCAATATTTAATCATTTCCATATTGTTAATTTTTCATCATGTTAATGGATATAATAATGGAAGATATTCACCTTAAAATATCAACTTACCAGCTAAACATTTCTCTAATAATCTTTGACTATCAGTAATATTTATCAATCTACAGATCACTTTTCCTTTCATTTCAGCATCAGTTTGAGTTGCGAAACCATTCACCATCTAAATATACATAAAGCCATTATGAGTAAACTTGGTTTTCAACCATTTTGCACTTTCCCTAAAGCTGAATTCACCACATGAAAATCTCGGTCATTTTAATATGATTTGCCATTTGATTGTAATATTGTGACTTGTAGCCCTAAACAACCAGAGTATGACGCTTCACCTGAACCATATGACAATTTGAACATGGCAAATAACAGAGCAAATATAGCCATCCTAATATACCCTGACATATTGCAGAGATCTCAGGGTAATTAAAGAATGTAAGAGAAATTTACAATTTACATGCCTGATCTTACCTCAATAAACCAATTAATTTCATAAAATAATGTAGTACAAATAATTTCCTTTTCTTTCTGTGATAATGAGGAGATTTTATCTATGACATCTCTCTTCACAGTATATATTGGACAACCTATAATAGTACATTAAACTTTACTATTGTCATATTAGACAATGATACATCCACTTTAGTATTTGGTTAGTAAACAAAAACAAAGCTAACCTATTAAGGCATCTATTCCTTCTAAATTACCATCTTGCTGTTTATATTCACATATCTGAACTAAACGAAAATGTGGTGATAGACATAAAGGTTGTGGTGATCTGTAAGAATAAGTAAAGAAGACTTCTATTAGAGTCGCATTGAAATATGGATGGAAATTTTATACCTTGAATTGGCATCACTATCACACTAGTATTAATACAATGATACACTTTTCTTAGTAATGCTATTTAGAATGAATGAAATCTATTACTTTTTTTGTTGTCTAACCTATAAATAATAAATTGAAGACTTTATTTACTAATGCAATTATGTAAATAATGAAAATATCGCTATTACCTAGGTTGTTTTGGTAGTGTAGATTTTTTACGGTCACTAGTATGTATTATTAATGGTAATAAATCAATGGCTATAGCACTCTCTTCTTCATCATTCAAACCAAAACTTAACTCCAGCGGTACTAACCAATCTCTGCATTAAAACAACATAAGATTCATATAGTTCAGAATACCAGAATGTACAAATGCACAGTCTGAAATCGAAAAAGAGTAGCCTAATGCAACTTACTTGGCATAATTTCTTCATTGCATACTATAGTCATTGCCCGTCTTCATTAGACCAATTAGACTCCATTCACATCATTTCATTTAATAGTAGATCAAAACCCAGCACAGTCATTATCAACTAACGTACATATCAGATACATATTTTAAAAGATATAAATAAAATTTGTCCTTACTTGTCTAACTTTCCTTCTTCAATATCAACAACAAAATCATCTTGAAAGTCACTAGTAACATTTTCTGATATCCAATTCTATAATAATAAGAATATTTATAGCTCTATAATAAGAATATTTATAGCTCTATAATAAGAATATTTATAGCTCTATAATAAGAATATTTATAGCTCTATAATAACAATATTTATAGCTCTATAATAATAACAATATTTATAGCTCTATAATAATAACAATATTTATAGTTCTTTAATATTAACAATCTTTATAGGTCTATATTAATAACAATATTTATAGGTCTATAATAATAACAATATTTAGAGTTCTATAATAATAACAATATTTATAGCTCTATAATAACAATATTTACAGTTCTATAATAATACCAATATCTACATTTCAATAATAATAACACTATCTACATTTCAATAATAATACCAATATCTACATTTCAATAATAATACCAATATCTACATTTCAATAATAATAACACTATCTACATTTCAATAATAATACCAATATCTACATTTCAATAATAATAACACTATCTACATTTCAATAATAATACCAATATCTACATTTCAATAATAATACCAATATCTACATTTCAATAATAATACCAATATCTACATTTCAATAATAATAACACTATCTACATTTCAATAATAATAACACTATCTACATTTCAATAATAATAACACTATCTACATTTCAATAATAATACCAATATCTACATTTCAATAATAATAACAATATCTACATTTCAATAATAATAACACTATCTACATTTCAATAATAATAACACTATCTACATTTCAATAATAATAACACTATCTACATTTCCATTATAATTTGCATTTTCCATTAATAACAATATCTATATTTCCATAACAATATGAAATCAATATTTACAGACCAAGCTAACAGATTTGATTATATCATCTTTTCTAATTAATGTTTTTAGTTGTCAAGAAGTTAAAAGAAGTGGAATATGTGTTGTTTACAGTATGATTATGAATAATTATCAGATATTTATGTAGTTAACAATACAGTTAACACTAGTCAAATTGACAGTAGAAATGGAACAATAACAAAAGGTACTAACATTACCTCTATATTGGTTGCTAGTCGACCTTTATTAATAACAGAAGACAATTCATCCATAAATAAAGCTGATGATTGAGGATTATTAGAACAACTATTTCTTACTAGCTGTAATAAACTTATAACTTGTCTAAATATATCATCTTCTAATTCTTCCGTATCATTTCTTTAAAATAAAACATATCTTATCTAATATCATATCTACTATATAATAGTCCTCATAATGAATTATATTCAATAGCTGTTTAAATAATCCAGATTAAATGAAATAAATATTCATTGCGACTTTTTATAGCTATCCTATAACCACAATGTAACAGTGACTGACTGAATCACCAAATTTAAATAAGAATATAGGACTGTTGGATCAAAGGTTTGTGGTCATGTCTCTTTCTCTGATCAACATAATTACTGTCTATATAGGTGTTTTCATCAGAACAAATGTCAGTAATTTATAAAGTCTTACTTTGATACAGCCATACTTTTAACAATCATAATAGCACCAATAACACCCATACGTTTATACCTAAAATACCCATCATAATTACATATAATACATCATGTCAGAGGAGTAGGTAGCAATGTTTAAAATACAAGATAATATATAATAGTCCAGTTTATTCAAATAAAACAGCAGCTTTTTTACATACTAAGTACTTACTTTGGATTGCTACTAGATAGCTGTTTTCTTATTATAATATGTAAATCATCCTGAAACAAAGAATTTACTTTTATTTCCCTTTATATTTTACATAGACTAGTAACGATACCCAACTAAAATAATTATTTACATTTACACGAAGTTACAAAAAAATAAGACAATTGTTTCAAAGGAATCTAGGACTGCTGTAGGAGTGTAGGTGAAAAACATGATTATGCAGGCAAAGTTGAATTATGGTCTCCTTTTACGGAGCATAACAATAAAAAATTTAAAAAACATAGTACCTGTATCATGCCACCTTCATCAGTATCATAAAAAGCTAAACGACTTAACATAGAATATAACTGTCTTATCTGACATACTGATAGATTATCTAAATAATCTAAAACACCCTGAAACATAATATCTACATAACAAATAGCTAACATAACATGAAACTTTTGACTGGGTCAAGTTTTGCTACTGATTTGTAAAAACAGGAATTATCCAGTTAGTGTGTGTTATTGCGATGTTGAAATAACAATCTGTTTTAGAGTTATAATATTAATCTATTTACACTGTCATTTACATTGTAAAACAAATAAACTTCAGTTTGATTATTATCAATTCAAATATACACACCTTGACAAATATAGCAAATGGTACCATAGCTTTCAGATTATTTTCTACTAAATCAACCAATATATGTAGTGAGGAATCCATTTCACTATCTAAACCACTTCCAATATGTGTTACCAAACTACTAACAATTTCCTACAATGAAGATATTATCATAAATACTTTGTCAGCTCAAATGTTTTGTCAAGTTCGTAATCGCTCGACATTAAGAAGATGCAAATTAGGGATACACTTCTACATAATTTCTATAATTTGTTTTGTAGATGTTAAATAACTGAGGTAACAGATTTGGTTGTTATTATGTATACAATATTATTGAAAGCACTAACCTGTTTACAGAAGGAATCAAAATAGAGAAAACAATGTTTATACAGTGAACATGCAAAGTAACTAACAACTGGTTCTGGTGATCTTAATAATACTTCACATAATGATAGTATACTGGTAAAATAATCTCGCAAAATCTGTAATATAAATATACCGGTATTTCATTAGATGTGCTAATTCTATTAGGAAAATATCTAGGTGTCACAAATGTATTAATAATTGCCAAAATAGTTTTTATTATGGCTTATTGGCCTTATAGCCAGGGCTTTTGATTATGTTTTTTGCCAATTGAGCATTTTCTAATGACCTGTGCAATCTGATATCACAGACCGTGGCGATGATAAATTCATTCCAAGCAACTAGGTAAATTCCCAGGATCATTAATACATTTAACACTATACTGGTGAAAGACAAAGTTTGTCACAAATAAAATAAATTTTCTCTTAGAAAATTCAATACTTGATAGTATCATGGACTTTAATGAATTTTTTTCTTAGCTCTTCCGTTGAAATAACATGGCAAAACAGGCGGGTTGCCATTTTGAAACACGTACGCAGATACCAGGATACCAGCGAAACTGATGAGGTCAAACAGAGATCAAAAGACGAACACGAACAAGAATGCATTTAAAGAAATAAAACAAGCACAAGAATGTTTTTTTTCTCATTTTTTTGGTTTATCCGGAAAAGAAAACATTCTGCAATCCATTTTCATTTACAGAATTCCGTAAGTCTTGCATCTCTGATCTTTGCCCAAAAACAAATTCAACATGTACATTTAAATATAAAGGCTACTAACTTACTTGAGAATAAGATGAAAATGAAGACTGTAAGAAATTCTCAGAGAAACATCCAGATCTAATTTTATTTCTAAATAAACTTTCTACTGTTTTCTTTCTACTGGTATTATATAATATTAATAATACAAATAAATCTAATACTTTCTGTTCTCCTGCTGCTTTAACATTGTCTATAGCCTGAAATATATATCACAGATACTCTTCTACAATAATTACTAAGCTAAGCAGTTTATAACACAAATAATCAACTTTGCATGTATACCCAACCCCGTTTAAGCCATGATGAAAAGGATAGCTTGCCAGGCAAGGTTACATACGCCCACTGGCAGCTGTCAGAAATAATAAAACTGTCTTTAGTAACTCAAGTATGAATTTCCTCATATTGAAGAAATTTTAATAGTTTGAATTCAATTATATATATATATGCCAATTATTTATGCTGATAAATTCCACCAAATTGTTAAAAATCAACAATTTAACAATCGTTAAACCCAAATACATCAAATAATCACATCAATACAAATGATCACACCGAATTTCATTAAAATCAGTTGAAAGCTGGAGTATCTTTTGTATAAACAAACAAATTTTGACGAGTTTTTTCCTAAGTCAAGGGCAATAACTCAAAAACTGTTCATCAAAAGATCGTCAATTTCGAACTGGACCAAAATCTCAACAATACAAATGATCACACCAAATTTCAGTTGAAAACTGTAGTCTCTATTGTGTTCACATGAAGTGTTGACAGACCGACGGCAATATACGTCCACATTTCCATATAAAAAATTGTAAGAAACATCCCAACATTACCTGGAAAGAGACATTACTGACAGCAAATAAATACAGGTAATTTGATAAAAGTTTTAAAAAGCAAATAAAATCTGTTACCTTTATAAATGCTTCAGCTACAGTCCTTTGAAAATGAATTCCTGATTTGATGGCATCTAATGTAAGAGTTTCACAATCTTTTTCACTGGTTCTTGACCTGGTTAACAAATCATATGGATATTGTAATATATAGGGTAGGGGGGGGGGGGGACGATTATGAACACATAACAACAAGCCTTGAACAGCAAGTGCAGCACCAATGGGATACAAAGATTCAAGAATAAAGAATGAGATGATGACAGAAATATTTAATCACAAATTTACACTAGTAATAATCCATTGTAACGCTTAAAAGTTAGGCCAAGCGTACTGACATCTAGATCCACGTCAGTTTTGTTTACATTTTAGTTCATTCAACGTAGACCATCATTTCACTTCCTTGTTCAAGTTATTCCACTAAATCACAGCATTGTTGTAAAATACATTTCATTGCCACATCAGGATCAATGTAGATTGATCTGAAGTCTGTAGGTTTTGTTCACTTTTCACACATTTTCATCAAAAGAAGCTAAAATTCGTCCAGAAATAATTCACGGTCCGCCATGTTGGATTTGACGTCGTCTGCATAAATCACTGACCTTGATTGTAAATGAGTCTTTCCATATTAAGCACTTACTTCATGTTGCGCTTTTGATAAAACTAAATCCATCATTGTCTCTTGTTTGTATTGCATTGAGGAATTGTTATTTCCGATATGATTTATTGCTGTAAAATGGATTAATTCGTTGACCTATTTATCTGTCGACATGGTCTCCTCCACTTCACTACAGTCACTAGGCTAGTAGTACACTACAGCACGTAGTAGATCTAGGCCTCGGCTAGCTGGAAAACCGGGTCACAGAGTTGTTTAAAGGATGCCACTCTCACTTAAAATTATCCAACAATTAAAAATATTATCCTTAATCAATGTTCATTCCTTTTTATTGATCCTAATGATCGTTGGTGATTGTTTTGTTTATTTATTTATTTGTTGTTGTAAGTCTTGGTCCTCGGCTAGGTCGCAGGTGACATAATGAAGGTCAGAAAAGCACAACCATTCATTGGTTCTTAATTTCGCGTCGGAAAAAGCGCAATCATTCATTGGTCAGTAACGTCATGTGGTAAAAAGCGCAATCGCACATTGGCTACTACTAGTTATAAATAAGACTGAGATCTTCCAAGATGGCAGTTTACGTTTAGGCGTTGATTCGTTAACGTTGACTTAGGAAGCTTGAACTTATCTCAGATAAATCGAATTTTTACGGCTAAGGTACGATAATGCAACTTTAAAGGAAGGAAGGCCCATTATGAGGTCATCGAAGCTAGAGGATGCTTCAGGGCACTCCATCGGCGCTTCTTCTAGTTCTGTAGGCCTAGTCCTAGGCCTAGCAGAAGCAGAAGCAGTAGTTCTAAGCCCAGTAGTAGATTCAACATGTAGTAGCTTGCCTATCGTTGAACCGTAGCGTTACGTGAGCTCCCACCACACCGGACCAAGCCAGCCTTGTAAATAATATGTAAATATAATTTGATTCCATGATATCAAGGACCATGGGCTACCCGTTGGTAAGTCTACCCTGGTCTAATAAACAGAATCTCGTACCAGGAAAACATCGATGTATTATATAATAACCTAACTTAAAAGGGAGTGTAAACTTGAGGGATGTAGTACACTGTCCCTGTTGGAAGTGGGTTTAGTGTTCCTTGGCAAGAAATATATCTTTAAAGCACATAATTCGACAATCTTGGACCACGAAGAGAAACCCTAAGATCGAGGCATCGACGACGCATGAGCACGGTTAGCTGAGGCTAGGCCTAAATGATTAGCGAATGGTTTAAGGAATATCAGAAACTGATGTATTATTATGATTTAGCTCATGGTCGATCTGATGTCTCGACTCTAAGGAACTCAGAAGTTCGGGAACATGGAGTTTGCTGGAAGTGGGCTGTCTATCAATATCTACTTTGATAAACATATGTATATCACTATATAAAGCACAGTAAAATGATATATTGTTTCCTTGCTTTTATATTGCTAATCTCAAAACAGAACTTTGCTTGAATTAAGTTTTTCTGATGTTCTGAAGAATAATTCTGTTACATAACAACACTATTATCAGAAATATTTTTATGTGTTTGATTGAATATTTGTGACTTAACATTGTTAACTTACTGTTTATTTTTAGAAGGCTTATTGGTATTTGTTTTAAATTCAACACTATTTCTGATTTCATTTACAACCTACAAAATAATGATGTGGTTCAGATGCAGATATTTTGCCATGATGAGGAATTAAAGGAATAGCCAATTAGACCATATATTCATCAGTAGATATACCTTGTGTTATAAATAACATAACAGGATCCTTATATAATCCGATAAATCCACAAAACTTAGTAATTATCCATAAATATGCAATTGACTATTGAAAAACGCTTAATATAAAGATTAAGAACTTAAATTTTATGTTCATTTTAAGACATAGTATCACTTTAAAGGTAAAAGCACAAACATGTAAAAATAAATAACATATATTGTAATGAAGCCTGGAAAAGATAAAAAGAGATATATAATATATCAATATTTAGATCAGAAATATTTCCAATAAATTGCCTCACCTCTAAGGAATCTTGATTAGTTACAGTTTGTAAGAGAAACTTAATAACAACTGGTAAATCTTCTAATTCTACAGATTTTAATGTTTGTATAACTGATCCTCTTACCTAAAATATTACAATAGTTAAAATAATACAAAGTTTAACAACCTTACAGACAGATCTTTTGTAAGAAACAGACTCAAGTCTCATGACTAAATCATGTCTCATGTAATTTTACAAGAAAAAAAAATTGATCAGATATATTGAAAAACATAAAATACTTTTAAATATCCTTCAAAATTATAAGCCTTTGTGATCAGGTGAAAAATTGAAGGTCATAGAGTAGAGGACACAAGCTAAATGTAAACAGAAAAGATAGCTTGCCAGGCAAGGTAAAATACGCCCACTGGCAGCTTTGATTTTGAATAAAAATATTTAGCAGTATAGTAACAATCACCAGTATGAAATATTCAACCTTCAGTCATACACTGCTTTTGAACTTTTTAGGGCGATAATGAATAATATTGAGTATGAGTTATTGCCCTTGTTCTTGAAAACGTGTTCAATTTTTAGCTCATGAAAACTTTAGAAGGCAAATATTCAATCTTCTGAATAATAAAAGCAAGATTTGTCAAAATCCAGCAACAATCATGTCTTTTAGTTTTTAAGAGCTTAATTTGAAAGCGTTTTCAAGAACAAAGGGCAGTAATTCATACTAAATATTTTTCAATTCTTCTGATTTTCAATAGGGTTCATCCTTGGGTGATTACAAACATTCACACCTAGTTTCATCAAAATCCATCAAGAATTGTGCCTTCTTGAGTGATTACGAGCTAAAAATTGAATGTATTTTCAAGAACAAGGGTAATAACTCATACTAAATATTTTTCGATTCTTCTGATTTTCAATAGGGTTCATCCTTGGGTGATTACGAACACTCATACCAAGTTTTGTCAAAATCCATCAAGAATTGTGCCTTCTAGAGTGTTTACGAACTAAAAATTGAACGCGGTTTCAAGAACAAGGGCAGTAACTCATACTAAATATTTTTCGATTATTCTGATTTTCAATGGGGTTCATCCTTGGGTGATTACAAACACTCATGCCAAGTTTCGTTAAAATCCATCAAGAATTGTCCCTTCTAGGATGTTTACGAGCTAAAAATTGAACGCGTTTTCATGTGGGCTTATAAAAAAGCATGACATGCTTATTATAGTGAGTAGAAGGAATGAGAAACCTACTTCAAGAAGTAACTCTGATGTCAGATTTAAATTTGATAATGCATCTAATACAGCTACTGTTAACTGATTCCCTTCTAATAATACATCTCTACAAAATAAATATAATATATAGTATAATTATTTCAATTCTAAACATTGATATCTCAAGAACATACCATATTGCATACTCAACAATCATATTAGATACATACCATGATATACTAATCAATAAAGAATACTCACCTCAAGGTGTTAGCTACTGTTGCATGTTCTGAATCTTCTATTATTTCTGGTAAACATGTTATTATTTCTCTCTGTATATCTAATGATGTTATACTTATCATTTCTATCAACTTCTTACTCAATTTCTACAATAAAGATAGTGGACCACAGCCATATACACCCACCACAGTATGCAGATGGTAAAAACGAAACATCCATTTTAAGTTTCATCAAAATCGGTTGAAAACTAAGATGGCATATTCATGATTTTGGGGCAAGGGCAATAACTCTGCTTCTAACGGTCGAAAATAGCTCCAATTTGAGCTTGATCTTCGTTTTATGAATATGTATACACATATTTCATTTGATTCCATCAAAAAATCTAGTTTTTAGAGCGTTCAAAAGCAAATGTTGACGGACGGAGTGTTTACGAGCAATTGATGCGGATAGAAGCACTTACTGAATAGAGTTTAAAGGGCGATAACTCCTCAAAACTGACGTAAGAGGCCTAAATCTTGAAAAAGCCTTAAATCTAATCAGAAGAAAACTGAACTTTCTCAAACCTTTCGATTTAGGTCCAAAAACATCCATTTTAAGTTTCATCAAAATCGGTTGAAAACTAAGTGAGTAATAGCAAATTCAAGATTTTGGGGCAAGGGCAATAACTTTGCCACTAACGGTCAAAAATAGCTCAAATTCAAATTGATCTTCGTTTTATCAATATGTATACACATACCGAATTTCATTTGATTACATCAAAAAATCAAATTTTTAGAGCGTTTACAAGCAAATGTTGATGGACGGACGGAAAGGGGTGCCGACAATATACGTCCACATAGAGAGATGTGGGCTGATAGAAACATAAAGGGCACTTTCAAATTATACTTTCTATATAAGAAAGCCTAAGGTCTGAAAGGTGGTTGAAATCTGTTAAGGAGAGACTCGACTAACTATGAGTTTTTAACTGGTCAATCAAGACATAACCTGCACCAAAATCGATCAATTTTTTCAAGGGGTGAATTATTTTATCCACTTCGTAGAGCGCTGGAACAATATCTCAATGAATCCATACATTGCCATACCCACATTGTATCGTATGGTTCAGCATTGATACCAGGCATACTTGAAAAACATGTATGTATACCCATATAACTAAACCTCATAAAAATGCTTTAAATGTGCAATTCGTTAGTGTAAATATGGCAACAGCAAATCTATCAATAATAAATTAATAATAATATAATATTATTCTTTTATCATTTGAAAATATCAGTGAAAGAATCCTTGTCACGATAAGTATCATTTTGTAGTCCAAATATTGTTATATGTAACATATTGTGACATGATTGGAAATACCTGTCACTACCCTTTCGTACGGAAAGAAAGAATATATTGCGGTTTTTATCATAAGTCAAAAGCTACATTTTAACATCAATATTTATGTTCTTCCTTATAAATTTTAATTTTTTTTACTACAATATTATGTAGTAAGTATTTAACAAATTTTTTTTAAATGAGAAATTGTTATATACACATAGTTAGTTACATCATACCAATAATAAAACACTCACCTTACAATCTATAATACGATCTAACCATCGAAACTGGCTCAGTAATAGATGAGGTACAAATAATTTCTCACCATTCTCTATGATATGACTAGAAAATAGAATGAAACATACCTCATGATATAAATCATAAAACATTCGTGGAAATATTGCTTGAGATATCAACATACCATGCAAACTATTTGTCATCATCATTGGTAAAAAAAACAAAAGTCACAAGACTTGATGGATAATCAGACCGATAAATAATGACAACAGCAATATAATCTCATCATTAATAATATTCACTAAAAGTGTGACAGTATGGCTAAACATAGTATTCTCCTTTGTTCATAAGATTTTACAAATTAGTTTATAATCAAATATACGTACTCAGCATCACCAATGAATTCTGGTAATTTCTCTAATAGCATATTCATAACATCATTCTAAAATCAAATAAAAAAAAAAAGTATTCATTTCTTCGTATAAGGAGTCTAAAATTTTAAAGGATACTTTCAAGGCAATTTACTTTTCAGTTGGGAAATGTAGGTTTTTATGTCGGAATTATAAAACGGTTGCTGTTATTTAAAAATCCTAATCAAAGGGTCATACTTTATAAATTCTAATCAAATACTTTACCTGTAGCATGTCCACACCCATCAATATACGAACTACGCTATCTTGTATAGAAGCTCGAGCACTAAGTTATATCAAATATAGGTTAATCTTAAAAACTACATGTAAAATTCTTTATGAGTAATACAATGTGGGTGTAATATTTTAGTCTAGAAGGATGAACTATAATTCTTTACTATTGGGGGATTCTATCTTGATTCATCAAGGGAACAAGATACTAATGACATTTAATCCTTGATGCACTCAGCAAGCAAAGCACATCAATCCCTTTGACCATGTAGCAACCATGTTACATTTATATGAAAAAATTATCAGTAACAGTGCCAGGGATATCGGCTGGCTCTTACAGTGGTAAGAGGTAATGGTGGAAGGAATTAGGTAAGTAACTATATACCAGTAGAAAGTTTGTCAACAAAATAACAGTAACATGAAATCAGACTTACTTATCACAATCAGTACTTGTTATAGTTGGCATCAATACCTTATGAAACCTGGAAGACACATATTTCAACAGAATACAGTTATAATCTGGAGAGTTTCTTACTGCGTTAACTTTTTGTCAGCTTGTAAAAGATTTATTTTGGCATGTAATTACTTCCAATATACTAACATAAGCAATCATCTTAAGTCAATAGGTTGTATTAAATATTTTACCTCTTATCTTCTGACATATAATTCTGTAAACCTTCTAACAATTCATTTACAGTCTGAAACATTTAATCAGAATGTACATATCTAACTACATATAGAGGAAACAAAATATATATGGATATTTGGGTTTGAAAAATATAATTGTAATTATATAGTTTAGGAATACATGAAAAAGAACAATAAGCAAGGTTTATAATTTCCTCTTTTATCCAACGACATTGCAAAGAGAAAGTAACAATACATAGTAACATGATTTAACACCTATAAATTGAAAATACTATTAATTTCAGGAGACTTTCTACTTTTACATGGATTTAAGATGATAAAGATAGCTTGCCAGGCAAGGTAATATACGCCCACTGGCATCTTTGATTTTAAAAAAAATATGAAAGAGCAAGGGCAATAACTCATACTAAATATTTTTCAATTCTTCTGATTTTCAATAGGGTTCACCCTTGGGTGATAACGAACATTCACACCAAGTTTCGTCAAAAATCTGTCAAGAATTGTCCCTTCAAGAGTGTTTACAAGCTAAAACTTGAACGCGTTTTCAAGAACAAGGGCAACAATTCTTCTGATTTTCCATAGAGTTCATCTTTGGTTGATTATGAACACTCACATCAAGTTTTGTCAAAATCCATCAAGAATTGTCCCTTCTAGAGTGTTTACAAGCTAAAAATTGAACGCGTTTTCAAGAACAAGGGCAATAACTTATATTAAATATTTTTTGATTCTTCTGATTTTCAATAGGTTTCATCCTTGGGTGATTACGAAACACTCGAAACACGAAACACAAGTTTTGTCAAAATGCGACTAGAATTGTGCCTTCTTGAGTGTTTACGAGCTAAAAATTGAACGCGTTTTCAAGAACATGGGCAATAACTTATATTAAATATTTTTCGATTCTTCTGATTTTCAATAGGTTTCATCCTTGGGTGAACACTCATACCAAGTTTTGTCAAAATCCGACTAGAATTGTGTCTTGTAGAGTGTTTACGAGCAATTGTGGACGGACCGACGGACGGACATGGGTGACGGCAATATAAGGCCCCCCATTTCATGTGGGCGTATAAAAATTAACATACTTCTGGATATGTTTCATGTGCTTTCATTGCAACAACTAGATTCTTTTGAAACATGGCCTGATCAATACCTATGACAATAAGAGTGAAAAAATAAAAAACAAAGAGAACAAAGAATGACACAAATGAGTTCGATGTTTAAGCAAAGTCTTCAACTTCCAGAGTCAAAATCTTTCCAAGTAGAGCTACATACGTCTATAGAAAAGGTCAAATGCTACAGTCAAGTAACCTAATTTCCTGCTAACCTATTTTTCGTGCATTTCCGGAACAATGTCAGCTAGTAGAATGAATCCAGTAGTCTCAATCACGGTAAAATCTATTAATGTATACTTTGACAAATACAAAATGGCGGATTTCAGTTATTACCAAACTTTACAATTTTTTATCAGCCGAATTTCCTTATAATCCCCAGTTGTAATCGGAATTCATAGTGTCGTCTGCTAGAATGTTGTCCAACGAATGAAGTCACGTGATCAACTAGTGGGTTCCATGTCAGCAGAAAAATTCTATGCAACACAATGTGGGCCATATTCTTATGTTGTTTCAATGATTTTTTGCATTAAATCACGCTACGTATCTTATTTTGTCAGTCACTATTTTTTTTTTAAATCATGGTTCTTTGAAGGAATTGTCATTAGTTATAAAGAATTGATATTAAAGATAATTATTAAGAGAAAATAATTATACCACTCAGCATCCATACAACTTGACTTATTTATAGATCAAACATTGTACATGAAAATAGGTGACGCATTTTGCCGCCATGGTCGAGTTGGTTACTCATGAAATATGGGTCAAAGTGAGAGATTCATAAAGAAAATCGAAACAAACCAATTTTAATTATTTTGTAGAATATCTGAGGAAACATCTAAGATATAGAAAAAAATTTTCCATTTTTTTAACTTTGTTGAAATTTGGTCTTGAATCCTTATATGCACGAAGATAGCTTGCCAGGCAAGGTAATATACGCCCACTGGCAGCTTAGATTTTAAATAAAAATATTTAGTAGTACAGTAATAATTAGTACGAAATAATCAACCTTCAGACATACACTTCTTTTGAACTTTTTGAGGCGATACTGAATAATATTATCAAAATCTGTCAAGAATTGGGCCATCTAGACTGTTTACAGACTAAAAATTTAATGGGCAATAACTCAAACTAAATATTTTTCAATATTTCTGATTTTGGATAGGGTTTATCCTTGGGTGATTACAAACACTCACACCAATTTTCGTCAAAATCCATCAAGAATTGTCCCTTCTAGAGTGTTTACAAGCTAAAATTGAACTCGCTTTCAAGAGCAAGAGCAATAACTCATTAATTACTTTTATTTTTTTTTTATTTTCAATAGGGTTCATTCTTGGGTGATAACAAACACTCATGCCAAGTTTCGTCAAAATCCATCAAGAATTGTCCCTTCTAGAGTGTTTACAAGCTAAAATTGAACTCGCTTTCAAGAGCAAGAGCAATAACTCATTAATTACTTTTATTTTTTTTTTATTTTCAATAGGGTTCATTCTTGGGTGATAACAAACACTCACACCAATTTTCGTCAAAATCCATCAAGAATTGTCCCTTCTAGAGTGTTTACAAGCTAAAATTGAACTCGCTTTCAAGAGCAAGAGCAATAACTCATTAATTACTTTTATTTTTTTTTTATTTTCAATAGGGTTCATTCTTGGGTGATAACAAACACTCATGCCAAGTTTCGTCAAAATCCGTCAAGAATTGTCCCTTCTAGAGTGTTTTCAAGCTAAAAATTGAACACGTTTTCAAGAACAAGAGCAATAACTCATACTAAATATTTTTCGATTCTTCTGATTTTCAATAGGGTTCATCCTTGGGTGATTACGAACGCTCCTGCCAAGTTTCGTTAAAATCCATCAAGAATTGTGTCTTGTAGAGTGTTTACGAGCAATTGTGGACGGACATGGATAACGGCAATAGGTTACACCACTGTACTGTATACTTACTTATTTCATTATTGGCTGATCCATCTTTCAGTATGATACCACAAGTACTAACAAGCTCAGTAAATACTGATTTTTCATTGTAGTTGTTATCTCGTACCTTTCTCTTCTTTGTACTCGAAACTAAATTGAACAAAACAGAATTAAAATGTCTTAGATTAATGCTTATTTGTAGTATTGAATGAATTTGTTGGACATGAGTTTTAAGAATCAAAATACCTATCCAGAACAAGTTTGCCTTTGTTAACAACATGATTCTGATATAAATATTATGAATAATAGTGGGTTTTATACAAACCTGAACTATCTGATGATTTTCTTTTAGATCTTACTGTTGAATCTTTTGACTTCACCATAATGATTGATATAGATAATATAACATCTCACTAGAAAAGAAAATTTGAATAATGCTTCAATTGTTCGACATTGTTTTGATAGATAGGTTTGGGGAAACAAAGAAATTGTCTGACATGCAACATTTCTGAATATCTTACTCTTAGGTACGGTATCCTTTTTTTTATGAACAATCTTATATTCCTAACTTATATAAGTTATGCTATCTCTTAGCATGGAGGTACTTGTATTTAGGATAGACCTATTCTATAAAATGTAGCCTTGCCCTTATTTAGTTATTAACTCAAAATTTAAGTTTCAGAAATCAGTAGGTAGGCTCAGGCCAAGGCCAAAGCCAAAGCCAAAGCCAATGTGTCAAGTCCGAATACTGCCTAGAAGATAATAATTACTGTAAGTTTAGTCTATTTCGAAATCTAATCATAAATTTGGTGTTTAAAGCCTAATCATGTACAGTTTATAACCTTTGATGTACTAAAATGACAGAACAAAGTTTACCGCCATATTACGATCTATTTATGGATGATGTGACACAACCCCGGAAGAAGTTTTATTGGTTAGTCCGAAACATCTGCCTCTATTCCAGCCTCTGGTGGCTATAGTAGAAGTTGATGGCGTAGAGACATCCAATTAGGCCCTGTTTAATGGAGATTTTCAGCACCTCTGAAGGTGCAGGTTGTCTAATTAAGACACACTTTTTACCTACTATCTCTGAGTCAAAAGCAATCAGAGACTGGAATGGAGGCAGATGTTTTTGAATAAATTTAAAGTTAGCCTATACCACCTCTGGCTCTTAATCTTATGACGTTGAAATTTGAAATCGTCTTATAAATAAGTTATAGCCTATAGAGATTATATCCTTTAGTCATGGCACCTGGTAAGTCCAGTTGATGAATATAGTTATTTATATACCAAATCGGTTAGAAAAACTACATTTCGTAATAAGTCTTCGGAGTACTGTAATTCGGAGCATTGCACGAGACATACAATATGGATTTGGGTAAGCAAGTAGGGCATAAACAATGAATATTTTAATTTTGTTTACTGTCTTATCTGTAGTAGTTTAATTATGATGTCAGTGCATCCTTAATATATATGAAACAAAGATTATGATGGAATGATGATCTACGTTGCTGCTCCTGTATAATTAACAATATTTATAGTAGAACATTATTTTTCAAAAAGGTCGTGCTTGTTTTGAACTTTTGTTTCCGAAGACTTAGAACGTAATCCGAAATATCAATGAAAATACTGGTGACATTATATTGAGGATTGTTAGTAGAAATGAAATCTTGGCTAATGTTAATTCCCGTACATCAATTTATGATATTCGTCGCAGCCACAGAGTTGGGCCACGGCATAGAGTTATATAACTCTATGGGACACGGTTTGTTAATCGTCCAAGGGATATAATAGTGAGATTTCTGAGTTACCGATGTCGAGCTATAATATTCGGTAATAAATCACATCTTAAGCATTTCAATGGGGCCAGAAATTTTAAAATCTTTGTCAACGAGGCCTTAACCAAACAAAGAGCCATCATCTTCAAAAGAGTTAGAGATCTCCACAAAGATAAATTGATTGACAATTGTTAAACATATGCTGGACGGGTGTGTGCTAAAACCTTATAAAATAGGATCATCTCCATCCAGTCTGAATCCGAGTTGAAGGATTTTATTGCACAAGTAGCACCAGCTGAAACTGTTCCGGACAGCGCTACGCCAGACCCTAGTGTTCGTGTATCTCGTACATTCGAATCGAGCACGATGGAAGATCTGATCCGGTTCATACTTCTCGTCTTAAATTGTGGCTACCCCATAATTCGTGTCCTTCGTCAACCTCAACACCTTTTTGTAAATGCTCAGGACTCTAGAGGAATTTCTGGGGCCACTCGCGAATCCAATGTCCATTCCAACATGGGAGTAGTTTCTCGTGATGATAATCTTCCCTGCGAATCCGAATAGCATATATCCAAAACGCATCCAATGAATTGCCTTTCACAGTATTGAATGTTAATGGTCTGAAGTCTTAAACTGACGATAACTTCTTCCTTGCAGCTGTTAATAAATTCGACAATTTACTTTTAGCTGAAACGTTGCTTAAAGAAAATTATAAAGTTTCGTTGTTTGACTTTTTGTCAATCGTGGTCGTGAACTACACTTGGGAAAGCGAAGTGCGATATGTGGCGCCATCGCGGTGTTCTTTAAACATGTTGTAGAAAATCTTATTTCAGTGGTACTAAAGAAACCATGGGGTTTGTGTGTTGTCGAACTTCAAGGTACAACTCTAGCAGATACATCTGATGATTTGTATATTATTTTTGTGTGTATTCCACCCGAATATAGCTCGTTTCACAATCTTATTGATTTTGATATATTTATTGAACTAATATGTTTAGAATATCAAAAAATTGGAAATATTGTATATAGTTTGTGGTGATCGAAACAGTCGAACAAGCTGATGCTCTCTGATCAGTTAACTGAGAACAATGTTGTTAATTTCTTATCAGATTCTTATGTGAAATCTTGTGACGAAACACATCTCTATAGCAGATGCTCTGAGGATGTGGTACTTAATAATTTCGGTAAAAGACTCCTTGATGTTTGTTAATCTGTTAATGTGTTAATTGCCAATGGTCGTCTTGGTTCCGATAGAGATGTTGGCAAATTCACCTTCAATTCTCGAAGAGATTCTAGTGTCATAGATTATGTGCTGGTCGATCATGCCATTTTTAATGACTTAGCTTCATTTAAGGTTGAGGAGATCTCGGAATTCTCAGATCACTGCCCCGTTTGCTTCGGTATTAATTTTGAGCGGCCATCTCTTAACCTTGCCATAGGCCTATCATCTAAAATTAATAATTGTTTCATTAAATTATTCAATTTGTCTATGTATACTCAGGTTAATTCTATTGTTAAGTATAAAGGATGTCTTTTAAATCAATTTGGTAGTTTATCTGGTGTTAAGCAGGGTGAACCTTTGTCGCCTCTACTTTTCCTAATATTCATCAATGATCTTCATGACTTCATTTGCAGCACTGATCCCGGCTTCGTTAAAATTGGTAAAATCTTAGTATATCTGTCGCTTTTTTGCAGATGATACTGTACTTTTTGCGAACACAAAATAAGATAGATAAATTTAGTCCGTATTGTGCCACCTTCATTATACATTCAATATCAATTCCGTTAGTTTTGAAATAGTTACTGAATATATTTATCTAGGTTTATTGTTTTTCCAAAATGGAAAGTATGTTCGTGCTGTTAAACGAATTGCTTTTCAGAGTAGAAAAGGCCCTTGGTTCCCTTCTATCTTTACTGAAATCCATCCACTTAAGTATTTCTAGCAAATCGTCGTCATTCTCGCAAACCGACGAATATGGAAATTTCGTGTTTTGAGAAAAACGCTTTTAAAGTTTATGAAAAGTTTGAATCTTCAATTAAAAATTGCTATTGATGTGACAATAATAATCAAGGTGTCTATGTGTGCTATAACATATCTATTTCGAAATGAGATAGCTTTCCCGCTATGTCTTCTGTTTCAATCATTGGTAGTTTCTGTTTTGTCATATGCCAGCGAAGCGTGGGGTTCTTTGGATGGTAAACCGTTGGAATGGGCAGTGGCTATTTATCACTGGCGTGGTAAGCGTGGTAAATAGCTATAAGTACCCTTACAGCTATTTACGGCGTGGTAAACAAAATTAGTTGTGATTTGATATTCTTTTCTTAAAAATTGTTTAAAACTACCTTAATATTTAAAATAACGATTTTGCAATCAAATAATCACCATTTTCATCAAAAATTCGCTTTTTGAAAAAAAATGTCGTGTTTGTTTACAAATAAATGTCAAGGCCGATTGTGAAGAGTTCGTGGTTCAAGGCTGAATACTTCTCAATTCAAACCTATCTAAATAATTCCGCGTCGTATGAAATTTGGTGTACATTCATTTGTTCTTTCGGCAATAGATTTTAATTACAAATTTGTCAAAATTTACTTTTAACCTTGTTAATGAATTGGAAAGCAGGCTTATTACAAGTATATCTAAAATCAATTGAGGACTTAACTTCCCCAAACGATCGTAAGGGTATTTTGTGTGAGAATAAGTTTTGAAAATAAATTCCTGCATTTTATGCAATGTGTCTCCTAATATTACTACGATTTTACATGGTACTACACACAGAAAAATAAGTAAGGCAATAGTGAGTAAATGTACTCATTTACGTGAGTTTTGGACTTTTCCATAAAACGACTCTTTTGGGACTCATTTGCAAATGAGTCAATATACTCAATAGTGAGCGATTTGTGAGTCATTTTGACTCATTCAATAAGTGACTTGTTTATGGGTGAAATGACTCATAAGGGAGTAAATTGACTCAGCGAACCAGGAGTTTCTAAACTCATTAACGACCAATTTGTGAATCAATTGAAACATGTAAATAGTGACTTGACATTGAGTCAAATGACTTACCAGGGAGTTAATCGACTCATGTAAATGTTTCTTTTAACTCGTCGCAATCTGATCATGTGAGTCATAACCGAGTGACATTACAGTTTTGTCAGAAAATAAAAAAAAAAAGGCAATTCAGTTTGCTGAATAATTAAAAAAATACCTGTTCATTTAATATTTTTATTGTATATTCTAACAGTAACGTTCTACATTTTTGTAAGTTTCGTTATTACTGACAAAACTTTTCTTGGAGGAGGAGTCTTATCATTCATGTTCAAACAAATCTTTGAATGAACATATAGAAATTCAAAGCTTTCTTATGGTACTGAATATTGAAAACATAAAATGTAGAAAATAAAATTCAGCAGCTTCAGCTACTTCTGTTTCATCCACAATGATGGTAAATGTATTTGCTGTATGTACCGATTCCCCAGCGTACAAGATGAAGGTGTAGATATA